CTCTAACAGCTGGTTTCCAGTGCAAGAATAATCAATACAAAATACGTTTCCAAACACACAGATAACGTAAAAAATAGCCTATAATAGCATCTGTGACCCTATCCTCCTCCGTTTCACTCAAATGAGCAAGGAGCAGGTACCTTTGGCGATGGCAATAATGGGGAAGCACAAACAAACGGTTCGCCATGTTCAACGTTAAACAGGAAGTAACTGGCAGTTTGCTGTAACTTTCCTGGAACGCTACAAAGTCGTAACTCGTGACTTGAAGTCGTGACTGAGTTCAAAAGCCTGCCTGGAACGCACCATACATGTGTGATAAATATGGAGAAGAAGTTGATCATGTTACTGCAGACTGTCAGAGCGTCACATCTGTCCCCCAGACGACACATTTGGCCCAATACACACTAACAAAACACCTGGAAGAAGATCAGCTCTGCACTCAGGGTTTCAGGTAAACAGGCTGTGATACGGTGCGGGTTATGGTTGCTTAGCAACCTCAGACACAAACTGCCTCCACGCCACTAACATCAGCCTGCAGGCAGAAGTCAACATAGTTTCACCAGCTGACACAGAACTGCCTGCGTGGAGAATGACATCATCACTTCTCTATCTTCTCAATCTTGTGTCCGTATGGGTCGTGTGGTCGTGGTGACGTAAATGCTTCTCTCGCCCATGTGCACGCAGGAACATATTTTCACTGAAGGTTGCTGCACAGTATAAATGTGCGCACATGACTGTGCGTGTGTAGACGTGTTTAGGCGAGACTGTCGTCAGCTAGCGAAACATCGGACGCATTTCCAACGACGATCGTGCCACCAAAAGCAAATATTTAAATCCGAAACATGATCTTTTCCTCACCAGTGGTTTCTGTGCCTAAACATAACAACATGTTAACCACAGCGCTGTTGAAACACGTAACATGTAAGTAACATGTCTGCTACATAACTAGGTAAAAAATTTTTATATTTTGCGGAAATATAAAGTTTGATCATTTCATCACAGCGTGGCTCTGCATTCAAACAGGAAGTGAACAGCAGGCTCTGGGTGAAAGTCCAGGGTGTGTTGGACCCACACCACCTGCCCTATGAAGACTGTCTTGCTGCTAACATTACAGCGTTTCAACCAGACGCCATCCAGCAGCGTGTCATACTGCTGTGACATCATACTGTCACTCACAGGTAAAACGACACACTGCTTTACTCCACACTAGAGTACATCAGCTGCTTTGAATAATAAAAAGTGTCGTATCAGTATGAAAACAGGCGACTGTGGGTGGAGCAATTGTTGGGTCTGGACGTCCGAGGCTTGTTTCATAAATCTGGATCATATTTCTAAAAAATATAAGAATAGGCCTAATAATAATTTGTTAGGGATGCACAATAATTTCAGCACGTCATCAGAATCAGACAACATGCTTAAAGGGATAGTGCACCCAAAAATGAAAATTCAGCCATGATCTACTCACCCATATGCCGAGGGAGGCTCAGGTGAAGTTTTAGAGTCCTCACATCACTTGCAGAGATCCAAGGGGAGAGGAGGTAGCAACACAACTCCACCTAATGGAGGCTGACGGCGCCCCAGATTCAAACGTCCAAAAACACATAACTGAAACCACAAAATATCTCCATACTGCTCGTCCGTAGTGCTAACTGCCTCTTTGTGCACCCGCACTTGAGCGAGACTGTGAGACATGGGCACCGCCTTCATGTGTGTTCACGTGCTTTCGCTGGTCTCACATGCACACGTGAGCGCGGTGCCCAGAGAGGCAGTCAGAGCTACAGGCTACAATGAGGCTAAAAACAGAGTTCAAATGAGGTTTTTCCAAACAACTTTTTATGTCGGGGCTTCAGGACACTTGGATCACTACGGACGAGCAGTATGGAGATATTTTGTGGTTTCAATGATGTGTTTTTGGACGTTTGAATCTGGGGCGCCGTCAGCCTCCATTAGGTGGAGTTGTGTTGCTACCTCCTCTCCCCTTGGATCTCTGCAAGTGATGTGAGGACTCTAAAACTTCACCTGAGCCTCCCTCGCCATATGGGTGAGTAGATAATGGCTGAATTTACATTTTTGGGTGCACTATCCCTTTAATAAATATTACACACACCATTAAGTGTTATATCTCATGTCTCCATCTGCTGGTCACCATGAGAGCATGTATGTATCATCTGATGCTAATTCACTACAGAAGAGACGTGACGATCAATAAAATTAGGTGGGAAAAAGTGGATATATTGATATCAGTTATCGGCCAGATGAGTTGTTATCAGGATATGAATATATCAATGAATACAGACAGTGCAGGCAGTGTCGATGTGATGATGGGGCCTGTACAGAGAGTGATTCAACCGGCCACCTCACAAATACACCTGCTGTGTTCAAAGAATACAAACGCTGTCATGCCACACCTCATATATTCATCTACCAGCACGCTGCTGTTCTGATCGTTCCATATTTGCACCATTGGAACTGAAAAAAATCAGAGTGAAATGTTTACATGACTGTGGAGCTGACGATAAAACCTCGTGAATCTTAAATCTTGAATCTACATTCTCTACATTTTAATGTCAGCAGTTGCAAAGCAGCAACATAACCACCGGTTTTCAGGTATATTAAATTTGACGGTTATCACACCATGTACATTTGCTTATCTAGGATTTTGAAGAAAATAAAAATACAACTACGTGTTGAATCTCAGCTTTATTTTAGTTTCAATTATAGTAATAAAACATTTGTTGAACCAAAAACGATCTTTCTGTTTCCACTCCTTTAAGGCTCAGTCTGACTGATGATAATAATAATAATTGTTTAATACCGTGATATTTCCTAAGATGGTTATTGTACCATGAAAGCACAGTTTCTACTCAGCACTGACCACTAATATATTTAACATCTCAGTTCATCAATAATCTTTTCAAATATTGTTTACTTCCAGTTTTATTGTTACCTGTCTCATATTTAAAAAAGTAGTCTACAATTTTTAATTTTCAAGTTTGGAAAGTATGGCTTGTTTCTTTTGCTTTTTAAGCTTAAATGCCAAAATCTTAAATGCTTTTGATCATGACCATGACGTTTATTATGTTGTAACTCTCTTCTAATGTTTCCATCTCCTGCACTCTGTCATTGTTCCAGCTCTTTGTATTTGTTGCATTTATTTCCTTCTGTCTAGTGATATTTCTCCAGGTTGCAGATGCAACACACATCTCTTCTCTCTTTCACTGTTATACTGTGAGTGTACTGGTTGTTTTTATCAATCATATTTTTCCCCTTTAACACTGACCGATTTCTTTCTTTGGGTACGTTTAGCCAACACACACACACACACACACACACACACACACAGAGGAAGTGAACACTGGCCTCCTGGGTGAAAGTTGGTGGTTGTTGGACCCGTCCACCGCCCCTCCTACCCGCCCTACTTGGACTTCCACCCTATAGTAACTTACGTTTTTGTCCTGCCATGTTTCCCCCTGACGCTGCCAGGCGCCATTAAACTATAACAGCCACCAGCTGTGCATCATACCGACATGAAAGGACAGCTTTTTCGTTGATGCCAGAAGTCACTGACCAAGCAGCAGTATTCAACGACTTCAAAATGAGACGAGGTTGCTGTTACCCAGGTGTGCTCAATGATTACAGGTAACGCCCCCTAAACACTGAAAAAGGGCAGGTGTTGTGCAGATGCCCAAGAATCAGAGAGATGCCACCAAAAGAGCTGTTAGAGGAAGATCTGCTGCAGTGAAACTGATGTACTGTTGAATAAATTAGACAGTAAACATGTCAGTACTGCTGCTACAGGATAATAAACATTCTGACCCCTCCACTCACCCTAATCGGACTTTCACCACCTTAACTTTCATTCTTGTGCTGCCGTGGTTCCCTCTGACGCTGACAGCACATCAGACGGCTTTTTACGTTGGTGTCTGACGCCACCAGTCACTGCCCATCACCTGATTTCGATGACTTCGGAGTGAGACTGGGTTGGATTTGAAATGTTTCCTCATTTTGTCCACTAGAGAGCAGTGATGAGTTCATGTCTTCACTCTAACTGTCCTGTACGAACATTTTCCACAGATATTCCACGCGCTGGCTTGGTTGGTTAGGTTGGGGTTCAAACGCAGTGCTCCGAGGAGCACGAGCTTCCCGGGGAGCGGTCGAACAGGATCGACTTCAAAATGTGCTTTTATGAGTCCTGACAGGAGCTGGAGGAGAAACTCGTCAGCTCGTACCTGCGGCCGCCGTTGGTTTGGTTCATTGTTGAGGCAAAAGCAGTGGGACTGGTCAGGGTGAGGGTGCAGGGTGAGCCAATCAGAGGCAGAGTAAGGCGGGACAGTCCTTCACTGTCCCAGGATTCGTAAATTCACATCCTGTGCATGAATTTTCAATTTTCCTGGGATGGCGAAGGCTCGCTCCGCCCTCCTCTGCCTCTGATTGGCTCATCTTTGCTGCTTGGTTGGTGGGTGAGGTTCAGGCATGAGGTTAGAGTCAGGATGAGACTCAGAGACAACATAACCCTCATGGCCTGGTTGAGTTATGTAAATAATAATAATATAAATATCAATATTAGTGTCACTAGATGATGATGTGTGTTTGTCTTCAGACACTTTCAGGAGGTTTGACTGATACTGAAGTCATTTCACTTCTTCCACCTCTGCTGTGCAGCCTCTGCACCCACAGGCAGATACACATATGTATTTATATATGTAAACACAGTATATGTAGATACTCAGCAGGTGCAGCCGGAATGTAACGGGATTACTCGAGGGTTTAGGGGTTTTTTTTTGTAGTGAGAGGAACTCCGAGGTGCAAATCCAGCATCTGACTGTGTCTGAATCTGAGTCGTGCACCTTCACCATGTGTGTGTGTGTGTGTGTGTGTGTGTGTGTGTGAGAAAGAGAGAGAGCTCCACACGGATGGACCCTTTGCCCTCACCTGTGAGTGTGTATGCGCGCGCGCGCCGGTGTGCGGGTGTGCGGGTGCACAGACACTCCGGTACTCACCCAACACAAACACCAAAGTGATGACAGTAATCAGGATCATGTCGCGTGCAGCTGTAAATCCACAAGTCATGAAGGCGGATCAAAGGCTCGGTCTCCCGCGCCGCCCGGTCCGGTCCGGTCCGGTCCGGTTCACGCCGTGTATCTCTCTCTGCCTCCCGGTGTGTCTCACTGTCGCTCCCGCTCTGCGCTGGAAACCGGTGAAACTGCCGCCGACATGGTGGAGTGAGCAGATGGCCCTGGAGACGGTGTGGACCGGGAGGGAGCCCGGACTCCGCTCGGTGGACTCAAACCCGCACACAGGGACAAGTGTTGGCAGAGTCCGTTAAGGACCGCATATTCCGGTGCAGCAGCGCGTGTGTGAGTATCCACGGTTCATCCGGAGGAGTCGGTCCACGCGCGGAGAAACAACCAACACTTTCCTCGGTGTTAGACGTTAAACATCCACGCGCTCCTTCCCGCACCGTCCGCCCGCGTTACTCCAACTTTCCCCGGTGCTCGGTGTGTGTGACGGTGCCCGTAGCGCCGCTCCCGCTCCTCCTCTGCTCCCCCTGCTCCTCCTCTACATTAACACGAGTGAGAACAGAAATAACAATCAGCCCGCGCGCTGGTTGAACCGATGCTCTCCACACCGGAGCAGCCTGATGCGTAATGGCACGCGCGTCTCCCTCGCTCTTAATCCACTCCAGCTGCCTCGTGCGTCCGCTCGTGTCTCCTTCAGCAAACTCAGTGCGTGCGACCACTGAGGAAAACCTAGAAACAGCCCCCTCCCTCCTCCCCCAACACACACACACACACACACACACACACACACACAGATACACACTGAAGGCGCGTGTCAGCCCCGGAGGAGGTCCCGTTTTCACACAAACTCTGTCTCTCACCAGCACCACGCACGCGCACTGACTCCGCAGGATGACCCGGGGTGATGCAGCGAAGGCATCAAAGCAACGACCCCAAATACCTAAATGCGCGCGCGCTCCCACGATATTAAAACTGTTATTACAGCCACAGGTGCAAATATCAAACTATCATCATATACATGTACACACACACACACACACACACACACACACACACATAAATGTATTTTATTTCATTTATTTTTTTTGCATTTTTGAGGGTTATTTAACACACACAGCAGCCACTTTATTAGGTACACCTTGCTGGTACCAGGTTGGACCCCCTTTTTAATTCTTGGTGTCACAGACTCAACAAGGTGCTGGAAACATTCCTCAGAGATGTTGGTCCATATTGACATGATGACATCACACAGTTGATCCATGATGAGAATCTGCCGTTCCAGCACATCCCAAAGGTGCTCTATTGGACTGAGATCTGGTGACTGTGGAGGCCATTGGAGTACAGTGAATTCATTGTCATGTTTGAGATGATGTGAGCTTTGTGACATGGTGTGTTATCCTGCTGGAAGTAGCCATCAGAAGATGGGTACACTGTGGTCATAAAGGGATGGACACGCTCAGCAACAATACTCAGGTAGGCTGTGGTGTTTAAACCATGCTCAGTTGGTACTAAGAAAATCTCCCCCACACCATTACACCAGCAGCAGCAGCCTGAAGCGTTGATACAAGGCAGGATGGATCCATGCTTCCATCTGAATGTGGTTTTTCCAATCTTCTATTGTCCAGTTTTGGTGAATTGTAGCCTCAGTTTCCTGTTGTTAGCTGACAGGAGTGGCACCTGGTGTGGTCTTCTGCTGCTGTAGCCCATCTGCTTCAAGGTTGGACAAGGTGTTGTTGCTTCAGAGATGCTCTTCTGCACACCTTGGTTGGAACCAGTGCTTATTTGACTTCCTGTTGCCTTTCTATCATCTTGAACCAGTCTGGCCATTCTCCTCTGACCTCTGGCATCAACAAGGCATTTTGGCTCACTGGATATTTGCTCTTTTTGGGACCATCCTCTGTAAACCCTAGAGATGGTTGTGCTGAAAATCCCAGTAAATACTCAGACCAGCACTTTTCACTCTTTTCACTGCTGTTTGCTGTGATTGCTTCATATTGTATATTATATATCTTCTGGCCCACTGAGTGTGAATGTAAAGAGCTTGAGGAGTAATCAGTGGTTTGATGGTGATTTATCAGGATTATCTTGTGCATCTACAGCTAGCTCACAGCAAACCAGCGAGCTAGCTGACGTTACTGGACGTCATGTTGTTTACAGCTCTACAGGTGAGAGCCTCTGTCCTTCTAAACTGGGCGCTGTGAAATTATCTGTCTTGACTGTGCTCGAGTGCACGTCAAAGAGTCAGATGGAAAAAAGTCTTGGCGGTGTCAGCTCTCGGGGGCGGGATGGAAACATAGCGAGGTAAAAGGTGCAGCTGATGGAGTGTCACACAGAGAGGATACTTAAGGAGTGTATAGGTGACAGCTTTGACTGAAGAGGTCTGACAAAGTACTTAATGAAAAGTTAAGTATTATGCTTCACTTTGATTTGGAGTGCTCACAGCAGGATGGAGCGTTCCTGTGGCCAATGCATCGCGTGTACATACTGTAGTATGAGTATATTTTGGCCCGTGTGGTTAATGTGGGAGGAATAGATGTGAATGAGGCCGAGAGAAAGAACCAGAGTGTTTTCTCTGCAAAGGTCACCATGCAGCAGGTGAGGCCAAGTGTCCAAAGAGAGTACGGGAGACAGAAATACTCAGAGCTCGATCTAAGAAAAGACACGAGGACGCAGGTAAGACAGGAAGTTAAGGAGGACAGGTCAGTCAGGAGGCTCGTGTAAGGATATGGGGAAGTTATTGGCCTTTGTGGTGATTACGTGTGCAGCCGGAGCAGAAAGGACGTCTGAGGAAACCGACGTAATTATAGATGCAGCAGAGATTTCTGTGTGTTGTGGGAGTTTCTGGAGAAGGTTTCTCTCAGGCTCTCAAAGACCTGGAAACAGGAGAGTTTATAGCAGAGTTGCTGGGAAAAGGTTAGTAGTATTTTATTTTATTTAGTAAATGAAGATTGTTGTTTAAGTCCAGTAGTTTTCCAGCCGCCAATAAAAAAAAACAAAGAAAAGGAAGACATCAGAATGTAGCTCGCCTGTTCTTGAGTACTGGGACAAATCATGTCGTACCAAAGAACCCTTAAATTAACTTATCACTTAACTTATCAACACACTAATTCTGTTTCTGAGGTGAAATGAAATGAAAATGATTTATAACATATTTAACTTGCCCTGTGCCAGAACACAGCTCGTCCCACGCAGTAAAGCACATTTACCAAAATCCTTCATCACTAAATGGAGCACAGTCTTTGACAAGCAGTTTAAACAAATTTGTAGGAAATAAACAAAATTCGAAGTAAATTTATTCATCACAAAAAAATCAAGCAAAAATTATGAATCAAGCAAAATCTTGTGGAAGAAAGGCAAAAGTCTACAAAGTTAAGCAAAATTCAAATGAAATGTGCATAATTTGTGTGAAATGAGCAAAAGCTTTGATCACAAAACTGAATAAATTCCATCTTGATAGAGTTGTGCAAAAAATTCATAAAATAGGCAAAATTCATATGAATAAAGCAAAATTACCCAAATCCTTTATCACAAAATTGAGTTAATTCCATTGCAACTAAATTAAGCAAAATTCATATGAAATAAGCAACTTTTGTTTTTTAAATAAGCATATTCCACATCACTGCATTGAGTTAATTCCTTCATTATAATATCAGGCAAACTTTGTACAAAATAAGCAACATTTTTATGAAATAAGCAAAATCCTTCTTCACAAAATTAAATCAATTCTGTTATCACAAAATGAAGCAAATTATGTGTGAAATAAGCAATATTCATCCGAAAAAAGCAAACTCCTTCCATCTTGATAGAGTTGTGCAAAAAATAAAATAGGCAAAATTCAAATGAATAAAGCAAAATTAGAAATCACAAAGCTGTGTAAAGTGTGATCACCCAATTAAGGGAATTCATTCAATATAAAATCAAGCAAAACTTATGAATTAAGCAAAATCTTGTGAAAAAAGGCAAAAGTCTACAAAGTTAAACAAAATTCATATGAAATTTGCATAATTTGTGTGAAATGAGCAAAAGCTTTGATCACAAAACTGAATAAATTCCTTCATTATAATATCAGGCAAACATTGCACGAAATAAGCAACATTTTTATGAAATAAGCAAAATCCTTCTTCACTAAATTGAGTAAAACATGTCACTGCAAAATAAAGCAGAATTGGTGTGAAATAAGTAAAAATCTGTTTTAAATAATCACAAAATTAGGCAAAATTCATAGGAAGTAAGCAAAATTAAAAATCACAAAATTGGGTATATTCTTTCATCACCAAATTAAGTAAACTCCTTGACCACCAAATTTAAACAAATTTATAGGAAATAAACAAAGATCTTCATCACAAAATTGAATAAATGTATTAATCATAAAATTAAGCAGGATTTTTATGAAATAGGCAAAACATTTACAAAACAAGCAAAATCAAGTCACTGCAAAATAAAGCAGACTTTGTGTGAAATAAGTAAAAATCTATTGAAACAATCAACACAGAATCAAATAATAATCAGATCCTTCAGCAACAAAATGAGTGAATTCCTTCTTCTTAAAGCAAAATTCATATGAAATAAGCAACGTTTCTATGAAACCAGCAAAATCCTTGATTAAAAAAATGCGTAAATCCGATAAATTTAGAAAAATCCTTAATCACAAAATAAGGTGTTCAAACTCTTTATTTTTGCTCTTATTTAATTTACATATTTATTTTTGTTTTGTAGCTAAATGTAGTCCTGCTGCAAAAATCTGCAACGTATAATCATTTATCATTTAATCCATCCATTATTTTCCTCATTGATCATTTTATTTGATTTATATATTTGATTATTTTACTTTAATATACAGCAGTATTCGGCCAACACATCCCTTTGCCTGGGCTGGTGTATCTTTGGTTGGGAACTGTGCCACAACAGCTGCTTTCAAGTGAGCGTTTCAAATTAAACTTTATATTTGTGTCTTTTGTTAATTTGCGTCTTCAGTAGGAACCGATGGGCTCGGAGAGAGTGTCAGACAGGAAGTCAGACAGTATGAAGAGACAAATTGTTGATTTGTTTTTTTCATGTTGAGAGAAAGAAAAGTAGAGTAAATATTGTCAGTTGACGTGCTACTCTTCCTCTTCAGTCGGCCCTCCTTCAGCTGCAGCAACACCCAGGTTATAATAATCCAGCTCAATGTTCTCCTGTCTGGCCACCTTCTGCCCCCTGCTGGCCTGGAGACACATGACAGCACACACATGTGACTTCCTGCATCACTCCTCTCTTCACTTCAATAAACACAGACTGAGTGCTTCATGTCAGTCACAGGTCTAAACAACAGACACGTGTCAGTACCTTACAGTAGAAGTAAAGGACCATATTCTCCAACAGCAGAATCAGCGGCAGCACGACGGTTCTGATGATGAAAGGTGTTGGATCTGGTGCTGAAACACATGGACATTACATCCCATCATATCACACAACAACATCACATTTACTTCACATTAATCAGTCCTTTCATATTATGAATAACCTGTTTATGATCAGGTTTTTAGAGCATCCCGATCATGTGTGTGAGCATGTAAACACCACATTCCTCTGATGAGAAACCTGAATGTTCCAGCAGGAACACTTTATTAATCCCCGGGGGGAAATTGTTTTTGTTCCAATGCTCCGTGCAAAGTAGAAATAGAAATACAGCATGAATGGAAACAAGAGATAAAGCTGAAGATATAAATAA